ACTGACAAGGCTTTATAGACACCTTAGGACACTAAAACTCTATGCTCTAGTACCAAGTTTGTTATGACCCGAGTCTACACCCTGGACGTGGTAGACACTCAAGAACCATTGTTGGTCCACAAGAGAATCCTCATCTAGGCTGACTACAAGCGGAAGACAAACTTAAACATGAAAAGGCATAAAAATGAAATAAAAATTCATTAAACTCAACTTTACAAAGCTTTAACTCAAAAGAAGACTCTGAATAGTAAAACATATTCAACTCTCCATAAAATATGTAACTTAAGTAATTAATAAATATAATAAAATAAATGGGACAAACTTCTCAACAACACTGACTATCTACAAAGTCTCTAACTGATAAAGATGGAATTCAGGACAAGACCCAGGACATCCTAACAACTAACATGATTAAAAGGTTAATGAAATCCTCTAGAATCAAGGAGGATCACCATAGCTAACTTGGACTCTCGGATGTATCAACGAAGCTCCTGTTGAAGATCCTGAATACCCGTGTATGCATCTTGAGAAGTTGCATGCCAAATGGCTCAGTTTGTTGAATGTACAAGCATGTAAGGGGAATTCTAAAGTATAACATAAGCTTGAACTTGATATAATGGAAACATACATATCTCTTTTCAAGATTATTCAACTCAATAAGTACTTAACGATACTCAAAACTGTTCAACTTATTCAACTCAAAAGTACCCAAGGATAAGATATCCAACTCATAGATTAGATACTCAACTCAAAGATTATATACTCGACTTCAGATATATGATACTTTACTTAAAAAAGAACATATCAACTCAAGATACTCAATTTAAGGTACTCAACTCGAACTAGTCAACTCATGTACTTAACTGAACTCATTTCAATATATAGCAGTTAAAAGAAAGTTTAATATACATAAAAGCTATTTACAAACGTGATGTCAACTCATAATCATAATATCATAAAATACATACCATGCTACCTCTCAAAGTCTACTTGTACAATGAAGTAAAGAAGTATCATACCCGCATTCATACTAAGCATAATCCCTTGAGAAACCATGCAATTACTACTTTGCGAGTTTCTCTAACCGACAACCACTATGATAAGCCTAAGTGGTGATACATCGTCTTTCCCACACTGCCACAACTTTCCTACACTTTCCCGTCATATAGAACGCTTAACTTAGTGGATCCACTAACTTAAGTGATCATCTAAAAAGTATGACCCTTTGATACCCACGATTACTACATGGTTTATAGTAACTTGAATTAATATTAACTCACATTCCCATATCGGAGCTCAATACTACTCTAAAATATATACTTGGCTCATATGTTTTAAAAACAACTTCTTCTGTGATTTGAGATTAGTGCTCAAAAACTTAGTTCAAAAGCTATCATAAAAGTCTCAGTTTCATTTGTTGTTTCATTTAGAAAGCGGTTACTCTTTTCTAAAAACTAGCCCGAAGAATCTTTGAAAATATTAGCTTCCATTCTTATTTATATGTGAAAACATTTTAAATCTCGTCGGGAATACTTAGTTCCCATATACTTCTTTGAGGAAAAGAACTTCAAATCTGAACTCTTGGCTTAAATTTGAAACTGAAGTCTTAAACAAGTTAAAACATTGGTGAAAGACTTTTGAAAACTTTATAAACTTCTCATTGACTTGATCCTTAACTTCTAGACTTGACTCTTAACTTTCCTTGAATTTAAGTATGATAACAAGGTTCATGATCTCATGGTTATGGATGATTTCATGATGATCAACTTTAGGTGTTCATGCAGAATTATGAGCATGAACTACTTAACTCAAGGACTCTAAGACACTTCTCATCTAAAGACTGTTTGATTTCTAGGGTTCATGCGGAATTATGGACATGAAAAATTCAACTCAAGGACTTCATAGGTAACATGTTATAGTCCCATTATTAGAAATATACACTCAAATGTGTTCGAAACTTATTACTCAAGACTAAATACTTGAACATGCTACTCCTCTTAAAGATACTCAATTTGTGGACTACATGCGGAATTATGGGCATGAACGACTCGAGCAGAAGGTCTACATACTACATGAAACTCATATGTATTACTCTTCTCATTATCTTGTTTATTTCCTTAGAACTTAATCAATGATGAATCCTAAAGAATTCACAATTGAACCTAAAAGCTTTATTGAACTCTTCTCTTAACTCTCTTGAATGTGAATTATGAATTTTAGAGTTTTTATATATGACATGGAAGATCTCATGATGAAAGTTAGACTCATGAATACACTCTCTTCATTCTCATATTCACTTTCTCGAATCTTGAAACAAGTTACTAGAAGTTGGAAAAGACTCCACAAAAGGATCCAAAGGGACTTTCTTAGAATGCTCAAAAGAATTCTCCAAACTTAAATGTCAACTATACCTTGGATTTTAGTTATGAATTCCACGTTATGATCATGTTAGGAATGATTTTAGGTGTTTAGAAGTATCTTAGAAGATTTAGAATCAAAAGGGAGTGAGGTGCACTTGAAACAAACTCAAACGGAGCAACCAGAGGCAAACTTGATGGGGCAGGCAACCCTAGGGCGATGGATGGCGTGGGGATCCAGCCCTAAAAGTACAGGGGGGGGGGGGGTTTGGGTTGCTCTGGTAGGTGCATCGCGCCACCCTCACCTAGAAAATCCAAGTTATCTTACTCATTTTCTCACCATGTGTCGCGTAGAATCGAACTTCCCCAACTACTTGGATTCAATTACTTAACTTAGTTACACTCTAATCTACTGAAATCAATACTGAAATTACTCAATTTCATCCCAATAAAACATAAAAGAATCCCAACATAACAAGATTTATAATGAAGCTCAAGAAGACCTATTTAGAACTCTAATCTTTTAACATCAAGAATGAAATTTCGCTGAAAATAACATGATTGACGTGTGACTTCACTAAACCAAACACTATGGAATCTGTAATACCTCTTAGTTATCAAACACATGCCAAACATCCACGACATCACACAATAATCTCGGTGAACACTTTATCCTCTCCTCTTTTCTCCTTTTTTCTTTTCTTTTCTTTTCTTGAACTCTCAACAAAACCCCACACTTATATTAGGATTATAAAACTGAATCTAATCGATTAGGCCCTTAAAACCGTACTAAAAACTAATTAAATCTTATTGGGTAAGGAAAAGACCAAAATACCCCTTACTTTTTTGGCTAGCTTTCTTTAACTGAGCAATCTAACTTCAAAAGGTCATATCTCACTCATCCTAACTCGGAACTTAGAAAACTCAGTGACGTTGGAAATATAATTCAAAGATATTTCCTAAGGTATCTTGTACCGCACCTAACTCATCCTGTGCAACGAGTTATGAATGTTTTAAGTTGACCCAAAACTCGTACTTAACTTAACTCTCCAAATTTTTGATTTTTATTATTTCCAATGTAGTTCTTTTATAACTGAAGGTGATATATCTATGGAACTTAACACAAGAAATTTTAATTCATTGATAAAATCTCACTCGCTATGAAGAAGAGTTCAAATTTTAGCTTAAAATATTTCCTGGGTGTTACACACCCATTGACATCACCCTGACCCCACTCTTCGGTGTACCATTAGTAGTCCCCATATAAGACAAGATTGAAGCAACTGCATCGTCGAGGAAGCCAAAGAAGGGAGTCGTTTCATCACCTCTAAAAGTAGATATTCTTTTGGTATTATCAATACTTTAAAAAACAATTCAAAATATACAAAATCATGAACAAATAAGGTATATCTAATCATTAGGTACATTAATTTACATATCAAATACAAACAAAAAACTATATTAAATTCATAGAACAACATTTTAAATACACAAAATGAGCATATTAGATACATCTAATTATTATGTATATGTCATATACATAGAAGACACATTATATTCATAAAATAATAGCTCAGAAACACATAATGGACATATCAGATATAAAAAAAAAATCTACTCTTTTAGGAGTTGTAGATACAAAGTTGTTATACGCATGATTTCCACCTTAATTTATACTTTTCAGTTACATTCCTTATTTAGATACATTGAATTATATGACTGAGATACATACACACTATATACATGTATCCAAGTGCAAGTTGTGGTAGGATTGGTAATATTGCTAACTCATGAAAAATAGATAATTAGCTCCTAAACTAGTGGGATGTGTGTTGTTTACCCTTAATATAAAGTAGGAACATAAGCCCACTAATATGACACACTTCATAGATTAGGAATGATATTTTTTTTGATGATTTTTTTCCTTTTCTCTGTCATCTCTCTGTTTATTTTATTTAAACTTATCATTAATAATCTTTAAAGTCATTATAAAAATTAAGTTACTGCTAAGTTAAAATAATAAGTAATTTCCAATTAACACACCCCTTCACCTTCAATGATAGAAGCCCAAGGGACCTCCTTTTTTTCATGCTTAAGTATCAATGGATGAAAAAATATCATTCTACATAATCTCATTTTTACTTTTCTCAAAAAACATTTTCTTCTATTTTTTTATATGAAACTTATATCACTACAAAAAAAACACTTAAAATCTGGGGGTTAAAATTACATATTTCGAAGGTCAGTAACCACAACAACTTAGTTATAGGGTAGTTGCAAAAACTCCGACAATTAGGTGTGCCACAATTATGTCGCAGGATTTTTTCCCAACCCCCGGTACCAGTAGAGGGGGTTTACTAACGGGGGTTTTGAACCCACAAATTGATAACTGCACAAATTCTAGGATTCAGAACCTCAACAATTTATATACTTTGGGAGTCAAAAACCCCATGATTCATGAATTATACATTAAAACTAACAAGAGTTTTAACCCCTGCTATTTATGAAATGTATCTTTTTCTAAAATTTTGCTGGAAATTAAATATTTAAATTTAAATATTAATAACTAATTAATTAACATAGACAAACCTAAAAGGGAATATAAGTACATGAAATAACACAATAATTCACCACAAAAACATGTCATAAAGTGTACTATTAGTTCTACAAACTTAATTGGAACATATTATTCACTTCAACCATATTATTACAAGAAACTTTCAATCACTACAAAAACTTGCTTGAACTTCAAATCACTACAAAAAATTGCTTTAACTTTAGATCACTAGCATCCAAACTCAATAAAGGATCTACAACTTTTCATGAAACTTCAGCGGGGTTCACTACGATTACTATCACTAACATCACCTGGCTGCAAAGGAAAATACACATGTAAGTGACTTCATCCAAACTCAATACTTTTACTCCAATAAAATATGAAATAATGCAAGCTAACACTAAGCATGTGAACAACAATACTAAATTCACTACTATGAAAGTAAATACCAATGCCACTCATTAACAAATAGGTCAATACTAACATGTAAAAATATGTTCTGGACCATGAGTACTGCCTTGCCCATAAAACTTTGCCAAAAATAAAGAAGCTAATCTCAGTAGATATGTCACTAGAAAAGATAGTGGATTCAGAATATGGCTGCAACTAAACGAACATATCTGATATATAAATAAGGTCATTCAAGAAGAGATAATGTAAACATTATATGTACCATTGTTGTAGTAGGAGAAAATAACCCCACAAATTGTTCTGATAATGCCCCTTCTTTCATTATCATATATGACTTGAAAGCAGCCATCATTTGAATGTGAGAATTCAACAATTTATTATAGTTCTCTTGGCAATCAGATGGACATGAAACACTCGAAGCATTCATACCGCAGAATTGAGGTCTTGCTTGTTTAAAAACTCTAGTGGGAACAACTCCTAATACCAAGCACCTTAGCCTTCCAGAGTGCTCTTTTCCTAGAACTTTGCCAATTGCATCATCAGGCTCTATTATAGACTCTTTTACAGTGCTTTGACACAAAGTTTGCTGAATTTTTTCCGAGTGTAGTACACACACAGAACACTTTATCAAAATTCTAAAAAGTAATTGAGAACAAAGATGAATTACCTAATTATAATCAAAGTTCAATCACATATTCCTGAGTTAGGAATTCCTTTACTCCTGAGTTTAGCATTCATAAAATACATTTTCCTGGGTTAGGCATTCACATTTTAAGTTAAGTACATGCATATATTCAATCCAAGTGAGAGATAAGTAGTGAGACATAATTTTAAATCATTTACTCAAGCAAGGATTTTAAACCACTTCAAAATGACTGCACACTATACTAAACAAGGCACCATCAAATTGATTTGGACAATAGCAATGACGAAAACATTAACAAAGAATCTCAGGTTTAAAATAAATAAGAGACTAAACATAAACTGCTTGACTTAACTTGTTAATAGAATAGGAACAGACTTGACAAAACCAAGGAACTGGAGTGCTATTATTTCCTCCCTTAACTAACTTACACTGATAACTTTTGCCGCTTCATAAACATATGCTCCATCTACATTCTTATGAGTAGCAAGATAAAGTTCTGCTTGTGCAGGCATTTGACCGGTCTCAACCATATATAAGTAAAACAATCAACTTAGAATAACATAACTAATTAAAAATAATTAAAAAATAAGTTATCTTGATAATTAAATAAAATGAAAAGAACTAAAATATTTAACCATTTCAACCCTTCTTCTAGAGTTAGCTTTGGATCCACCTGTGTGTGGAATGATTTGTTTCTTTCGACTTTCATCAGTTCTGTTGCACATTTCCTTACAAAAAAGATACACAAAATTCAATCATTAAAAAGTAATTATATGACTACGCATACTACTTGAAACAATTAAATATATATACATGTGTTTCTTTTTTATAACGATAATTAACAAAAAGGGTCCACTGATCTCTTGGAATTCCACGTGGAACATTATCCATAATCTGAGTTTTGCTTTTAAGTGGATCACTGAACAATTTCATATGTCCAACTTATTTGCACTCCACTTCTTTGAAATACAATTATAAACATATCGTCGAGCAGCTAAGTTGGTTGTCGCGAAAAAAAATCGAGGCTTTAATAATGAACACTATTTAGCTTACCTATTAAATTTAAATATAAAGATTCAAGAAAAGAATATAAGTATAGCATTCAGAATATAGAGTTTATACCACTATGATTTGATCAAAGACGCTATCGAAGTATGACATAGGAATATTTGGCCATTTTTCTAAGTGCATTGGAAATAAGGACGAATCAGCAACTAAAATTTTAGAAAAACCAGAAAGAAGGGGTTGTGCTTCTCCAAATGGACAATTCAGGTAGTCAAAATTGACCACAATACGATCTTCTCCAGATAATTTAGCACTTCTTTGACTTTTACTTTGAGTTTTTTTTGTTTCCTTCTGAATCTGGAATAGTGAAAATGATATGAAATGAAAACATGTTCAATTTGCCAGCCAATCATGTTCTAGAGTGGGTTGTAGTACTTGTTTCTGTTTTTAATTGTTTCCCTATATTGTTCCATAGTGGGTTGTTGCCTTTTATTATTCTTTATTTGTGATGTATTCTTTATTGGAAATACACAAAAAGGTGGCAAAATGGAGGGGTCAAATAATATAACCAGAGAGGTCACATGTAACCCCATTCCAATTGCACCATCATGCAAAATTTATTTGACAAAGTAGAATCATATTGGAAGTTGCCCTTCAACTGCAACAATAATAACTTTTGATCATCAAGACATTGAGGGGAAACCAAGAAACTTGTATTTTTTTTCATTTTGTGATTGAAATGAAGGGAGTAGGTAGAAAAGAAGATGAAAAATGAGGGGAAAAATGGTCAAAAGAAAAATAGGACAAGTGCTTGGTTGTTAAATTATGTATTTGCAGATTGTATTATGTCAAAAGATAAATAGGACAAGCCCCTCTAACTAGAAGAATTAAAACATTACAAATGGAGAAGAAAAATAAAAAAATATGAAAAAGAAAGCAGAAGTGTAAAGTTTACCTATTGCTTCTATGATCCAATACTCCATAGACTCACGTCCAACAACACACTTCCTAAATAATTTTGATTGTGATTCGGCTTGACTTGATGAAGTCGAATGTGATACAACCTGATTTGAGGAAATAGACTGTGATGCAGCCTGAGTTGACGGAACCGGCTGTGATGTACCCTGAACTGAGGAAGTCATCTATCTTTTCGCCTGTACTGATGAAATCAACTGTGACGTGGTTGGTTAAGCGTTGGGATGAGCTGACAATGTAGGTTGTGTTTGAACTGAGAATTGCAAGTTCTGCCAGCGCTTGGTCTTTGCCATTTCTACAATAAACCAAAGATAAGATAAATCAGAAACTCTTATTGTAATTGCAATACTTGTAAAGATTACTGGTTCATCCAGTTATAAGACTGCAGATTTTCATAAGAAATTTTTATCCAGATCCACACACACATGAAAAGTTCAAATCTTAATAAAAGAGTGATGTGATTAGCATATACAAATAGTTTTTCCTTTACACCAAAACTAAAAAGCATGCTATGTGTGTTCAGACATATGCTCCTCTGTTGAGATTTGGACATTTCATAATCAAGATCGATTTTTTTTTCAAATTCTTGTTGTTGGTAGGGCTCATTCTCAAATTTCCCTTCTTCATCAACTTGTCCCATGTCAAATACATCTCTTGGTTGTAAATGTATAGCTACACTCCATTCTTTATCTGTTTCATCATTAACATAGTAAACCATATTTGCTTGTGCTGCTTCAATATAAGGATCATCATACTGACTATCAACGGTGTGAATCAATTTAGAAAAATTGACACAATTAAAGTTCCAAACATCTCTTTTAAACCCTCTATCTCGAGTAGTGTCAGCCCACTTGCATTTGAAAAGCACAACCTTGAACTTTCCATAATAGTTAAGCTCAATAATATCTTCCAACTTCCCATAATATGGCAAATCTGCTTGTCTTAAATTTCTATCAGCACTAGATGCAACGCAAGAAGTGTCAGACATAAGAAAAACTCTACTATTTTGAGTTTCAATCCTTGTTCTCTAGACAAAGTTCAAAATTTGAACCCATTAATGTTATAAGCAGTGAATCTTTATGCATATGGCGCTGGAACTTGTGCTAAAAACTTTATATCATCAGAGATTGTGTCTTCTATATCTGGATTCATTATCTAAATAAGAAAACTATTTTCGTCATATATTCTATATTGAATTAGAAATCCTATGCAAAACTATCATCTAATTTCAATCACTCACCCGGTTAGGAAACCAATCAGAAAACTCTCTATTAGTTCTCTTTTCTACCTATGTTACCGAAGGTTTTCTGCCTCTTGAACTCCTTTTAATGTGTTGCCTAAATTCGCTACAAAGAAAATCAATGAACAACCATTTTATTAATGTTTTTTAGTAGATCAAGCTTATTTAAATTACTTACTCAATAAATGGCTTTGCTGAAGCGCAATTAAGTAATACATATCGATGAGCTTGAGTTTTCTCCAAATGAGTCAAAGGAAATGTTATGAAGCCTCCGACAAATTCACCTTGTCAAGGAAACATAGATGACCTTTCAGGAACCTCATTATGATTTGTTTCATCATTTACTCGTTTAGGCCTATTTACCCTCGATTCGATATCCTCAAAATAACGAGAAGAAAGATTTAGATTTTCTTTAATTTTTTGACCTTCAGCTATACATCCTTCTGCCTGTGATTTGTTCCCTATAAGGGACTTGAAATGACCTAACAATCTACCATTAAAATTACATAGTATTAGTACAAGCATTTACTTTGTGACAAAAGTTTTTAAGAATAACATATTTTACCTTTGAACAAAATTCATTCATAGATAATGTAGTGGACCACCTTGTTTTACTCCGTCCACTAAATGGACAGTTAAATGAACCATTATAGTAAAAAAGGATGGAAGGAACAACATCTCTAGGTGGCAAAGAGTGATAACAATCCATTTTTGTAGTTTTTCTAAGTACATGAGGCTCACGTTTTTCAGACAAATCTGTCTAAAAAATACACAGAACTCCACAAAATTGCTATAACTTGATTTGGAAGCACATTGCGAGTTGCTATCGGCAGTAATTGTTCCATAATGATGTGACAATGATGACTTTTAAATCCAAAGATACTCTTTGATTCTAGATGTATACAACGAGATATATTACTCGAATAATCATCGGGCATTAAGATATTCTTTAAAGTTGTAAGGAAGGTCGCTTTCTTATTGATATACCGTGGTTTCACGGTATAATTAATACTTTTTCCTTAAGTTTAGTGTGTCCAAAAGCCTTTTTTGTGCTAATTTTTATATAAGTGTCTCTTTGTTAAGCAGGAAATATGTCCAAAGCGGAATGCGGAGATTTTGAGCGAAGAAATACAGAAGAGACCACCTACGGAGCTTATGACAGTCCGTCGTGCTTGTGACAGTCCGTAGGTGGTAGCGTAGTGAAGCTGCTGAAGGAAGATGGGGAAGTCTGACCAAGTGTGGGATTACGAAGCTTGTGACGGTCCGTCGTGGCTATGACGGTCTGTCCTGCAGGTTCGTCATGAAGTTCATAGAAGTGAATCCAGTACCCAGATTCCAGGAGTTTAAGTGTTTTGGAACGAAGACCCTTGACAAACCGTCGTGTCTGTGACGATCCGTGATACTTGCCGTCGAGGGTAATGAAGAGAGCAGCAGAAGAAATTGCACAAGTATGGGACGACAGAGTACATGACGGTCCGTCGTGACCACGACGATCTGTCGCGAGGTCCGTCGACCCAGCCGCGTTTTGACAGATTTCCAGCAAATAGAATCCTTGTTTAATTAGGTTTTTATTTTCTATAAATAGTTCAAAAAATCTCGTTTTTGAGGTTAGACGTCGTATTGTTAGACACCGTATTGTTAGAAGCCGTATTGTTAGACACCATATTGTTAGACTTTTGATTATCATTAGATTTTTGTGAGATTCTTGATTACTTTGAGATTCTTGCAAGTGATTGTTGGTGATATTTGGTAATTAATCAAGCAAACTTTAGGATTTTACTCTTTCTCATTGAAATAAGTACATGAATTCTTATAAAATATATTTGAATATTGTAATTATGACTATGGGTAACTAAACTCCATAACTAGGGTTGTGGGAACCATAGGCAAATAATGAGGTAAAACCTAACTAAAATAACAATTCTAGAATAGTGTCTTGCATGTATTAATAATTCTTTCGCTTAGAAGTCTTTTTAACGGATGACCAACGTTAGAACTCGCCTTAATGCTACTTGCCGTACCAAGGAGGTAGATAATAGGAAAAGAATTATTAACATAGATTTTGTGTATACTATCTAATAGGCTAGTATTGATTGGTACGAGGTAATAACTTAGTCAAATATCGAATACGATGCTTAATATGAGGTAAGGATAAGGGTTAGGATAGCAACACACGTAGCCGGACCAAGGTGCGGAGTGAGATTTTCTTGATGCCGGACCAAGGATTTAGAAATACATAACTTATCACTTTGCATGCAAGATACTAGAAAAGAATTGTTATAGTTAGAATTATCAAGTTATGAACCTGTGGGGAACACGTAAACCCTAGTTACTTTGACTAATTGATTAAAATCCAACTGTCAAAGCTGTTAAGTGTCTCTTTCAAGTTCGTTATTTATTTTCACTCATTTAGAAATAGAAACACCCTTTTTATGTTTTTACTTTCCAAGGAAGTCATTGACCAAACAATAGTAATAACAGGTTGAAGTTAAGTCTAGACTATTTTCCTCGTGGGAACGATCCCAACCTCACTAGTTGGGTTATTTACTTGACACGACCTCTTTACTTCTTATTTGAGAAGTAAGTTTGAGCGTATCACTTATCTTTTGGAATTGTAAATGCACCAAGCTGAAAATGACCATTCTCATCTGCCCAAAGGTCTTCCCTTATAACCATATCTTGTAGATCTTTTCGAGCTTTTATGTGATCCTTCGACTTTTCTCTATCATTTAACAGAGTGTGAATAATATTGTCAAATTTTTTAAAATATGTTTAACATCTAAATTATGACGCAAAAAGTTGGATTCCCAATAAGGATAATTGAAGAATATGCTTTTTTTCTTCCACTGTTTAGTTGAACCTTCACCCGCACTGCTTTGTCTATTTTTTTCTTTTTATTTTTCTTTTATCGTTCAAATTTCCTTGTATTCCAAATGTAACATTAATATTTGTCACTTGTTGCAAATTATCAGATCCAGATAAGTTTTTTTTTGGGGGGGGGGGGGGTTCTTTCTTCTACAGTTCCATCAAAATGATTCCTCATTAATTTGAATTTATTATTTCTTGCCAAAAATAGACGATGACCAACAGAGCACCACTTTCCACTATGAATAAGTCGACAAGGTTTCATGTCAAAATTACAAGATGGACATGCAAAACCAATATATGTTTTCCAACCAGATAAGATACCGAGTCCCGGAAAATCACTAATTGTCCACATAAGTGCTGCCCACATTCTAAACATTTCATTCTTTGATGAATCAAAAGTCTCTACACCTTCACTCCATAACTCATTCAACTCCTTAATAAGTGGTTGTAAGTATACATCTATGTTTTTTCCCATAATTCGTGGACCTGGAATGATCATAGATAGAATAGAATTTGGTTGTTTCATGCACAACCAAGGTGGTAGGTTATATGGAACCAAAATTATAGGCCAAATTCTATTATTAGTACTCATCGCTCCAAAGGGATTGAAACCATCACTAGCTTACCTTAATCGAACATTTCGAGATTCAAATGCAAATTCAAGATAAGTTGTATCAAATCTCTTCCATGCCTCACCATCTCTAGGATGACTTAAGATTCCATCTTTGTTACCACCTTCCGTATGCCACCTCATATGTTCTGCCATATTAGAGCACATGAACAATCTTTGTCGTCTTGGCTTTAACGGGAAGTAACACAAATTTTTTGCAGGTCTCTTTTTTTTCTTCTTACCCCTAGCAACCACTTTACTTTGTATTCTTCTCATCAAGCTTCCATCTCGAAGTATGACAATGCTTGCATGTTTCCTCATTAAAATCATCTTCCCAATACAACATGCAATCATTTGGACAAGCATCAATTTTAACATAATCAAGATATAACTTGTTGATAGTTTTCTTAGCCTCATAACATGAATCAGGGATCTTTGCAAATTCAAGGGCATCCCTGAGTACATCCAATATCATAGTCATTCCTTTGTCACTTAGACTAGACAAACACTTTATGTGATATAACTTTAGTAAAAACTCTAATTTTGAGTACTTAGATCCTTCATACAATTCTTTCCTGCCATCTTTGAGCAACTCAAAAAAGTCTTTGTCATATGATGTGGGTATATCCTTTAATATCTCTTCTTCTTCCACTATTTGCGACGGACATACATGAAAGATATCTTGACTAAAGCCATGAAATGCTTCATGAATCAATAATTCTACATAAATTTTTGGAGGCAGTGTATCCTGAGTAAACTCTCTACTTTCAGAATTTTGCCACGCACTTGTTTCCCCATGCATAACCCAAATGACATAATTTTGAGGAAATGGATTGCAAAAAAAATGATTAAATACTACCTCTCTAGTATGCCATTTTCCAAAACAACATTGAGGACACGAGCATTTTATTCTATCTTCTATAGCTCCATTTTTAAAAGCAAATTCCAAAAAATGATTCAAACCAACCAGATATTCCTTTGTGGTCCTTGGCATTCTAATCCATGATTTGTCCATCAAAAAAACAAGATTAACAGACTGTATCACCTGTAAGATTTTCATGAGAAAATTATAAGGTTAGATAACAATTTTATGTACCAGCTAATGCAGACATGGAGTATATGCAGAAATGGTCATAATGATTTCTATTTTCATTCCAAAATTGTAACATAATGAACACAAGAAGTGAATGTGCATTTACAGAACAACAATCTGAGAGAAAATGTCTATTTTTTCACTATTTAGTACTACTGTAGTAAGCGCACCTGAATTATTTACAGTCTTGTAATCGATATTCAATCAATTTGTGTATGTACTAACTTATTTGGCAGAAACTCATTGATTTATTTTGTAAGTAAAATAAAACAGATAGCTGAGATTGAGAAAGATCAGCATCAGCATCAACAAACAAACTTGATACCAAGAAGTTCATCAAGCTATCATGAAATAGTACCAACAAATGTCAAAAGGAGGTCAGAGTACCTCAGTTTTCTTTATCCTTAAACAAACAAGATCTAGAAGCTCTCCAGTTTCAGCTCCTGTTCAAGATAAAGAAAATATTGAAAGGGGGGTCAAACCTGATAAATTAAACAAAAGAAATATTTTCTACAAGATTATGCAAAAGGAATATCTAAACAACAGTCATGATGTCACAACATTTGCTTATATAGAACAACTAACTTAAGTTATGAATATATCAATGAAAACTCAAGTTATGAACTAGCCAGATCACTACAAATCATGTCACTCAAGTCAGTATTCATCAAAAAATGGTAAAATATGTTCCTGAATCCTCTTACTCTCCAGTTTAATTAGTTAGTTCCTCTGTCTCGGATATAACCCCGGTTAGGGAAACAGAGTAATTTGTCATATCATAGTAAGTATTTAGGAGTCTTATCCAAATTGTTGATGAACATACAAACATTATGTGATGAAAACAAAAATACAGATAGTACTAATATCACAAAGTCTAATTCAAGTTTATCATATGTCAACTTTAAGACCAATTAAGAACTAATTAAATCTTAGATCAAATCGAAGTTACATGATAA